ACACATATAGAGATATTTATGTTTTTTGTTTTGGTTTTTAAAGTGTTTATATGACCAAGTATTTATCTAGGCTTAATGTCTGATAACTGATTTAACTGAATAATGTAATTTAAACAGTCACCAGAATTATTGACAATCAACAAGCACATTGATGAAAAACAACAGTAGAAGATACCTGAAACATTTATTCAGAAAATCTTTTCCTGAGTGGTTTTACAAAGCAGATGAAACAGGTCTGCTTTACGGATGCCTTTCAAAGACTAACTTGGCAGTTGATGGTGAATTAAGTGTTCAGGAGCTTAAACAAAACAAATGCAGGCTGATTGGTCCCATATGTGCTTATGCTGCTGACTGCCATAAAACAAAACCTTTCATGACTGGAAAATTGAATTATCCTAGGATTAGGAAGCAGCTGTACCAGTTTTATAATGCCTTGTGCCAGGATTGAGTCCTGGCCTTATCATTTCTATCATAACTTGTCAAGCCAGTAACTTCTATAGATCTATTTTTATTCATCTGTAGAATGGGGATACAAAAAACTGTGAAGGACTAGAATAATGATTTGATAAATTCATACATATGAAAACAACTGGTTATTAGAAGGGTTTCAATAAACACTAGCCAAATCAGAACAATAGTTATTGACTAGGCCAGTTTTTTTTTTTTTTTTTTTTTTTTGTTCTGTCAACTTTTTATAAGTTCATGTAATCAAATTTTTGGCAAAGTTACTCTACTGCCAAATAAGTGTAGAGAATAATTATTGAATCTTGTTTCTGAGCTACTTGTCTTAATTGTTACAGAATAAAATTGTTCAATTTGACTTCTAACAATAAAGTTTCTGAATTAGACTGTGAAACTTAAAATTTTGAGGCCAAAAAATGTTAACCACTAGTTAGTGAAGTATACCAGAATTGCTCTGGTTCTGAATAATCATATTTAAAATGCAGATTCTTAGGACCCTACTCATCTTACTATAGGATCCCAAAAATAGTATCCTGTACCCTGTGTGTTTAATAATAGTTTTCCAGGTGATTGTAAATGCTTTAAAGCTTGAGAACTACTCACCTAGAGATGAAAATGTGAAAAAGCTATGATCAAGGCACACTGCCATACAGGTGATGTGTACAAACCTAAGGTAAAGATCTGTTTGTTGTCTTTGGCCTGAAAATAAGTGAGTAACATGCTTGTTTTCTGGTTAGGTACTTCTGCCACAGGTGAAGCTTCCTTTTACCTCCTCCCCCCAATCTGATGAGTCACTTCAATCTTTTGAACCAATTTTTTTCTTATTCTGGAAAACTCTAAGAAATTCTTGATGGATATATGTGTATATATGGAGGATCACACGTTACAAACACCATTAGCAGATTTAGAGATATGCATGTCATATAAGATCATCAGTAATGTTCTAAGCAGATGATTTACACATAATCTTTTGTAATCCTTAAAAATGTAAGCAATGTAGCTGTTATCCTCATATTACAATTAGAATAGTGAGGATAAAAGAGATCACTAGCTTAGAGTCAGTAAGACAGGAAGCAAATATAGGGTTATTACAAAGAAAAAGCATAGAGAAATGTGGCCCTAAGCAGAGAGAATTCTATCCCTGAGAAACAATTTTTTAACTCACCCCAAAGCTGGATGTAAAGGGGGAATTTGAGAATGTTTTGTTAAGAGCTTATGTCCAAATTCAAGACTCTAGAATTTAAAAGTAATACAGCATAGGAGGGACATGGGCATTTATCCAGGTGTCCTCAGAATGAAAACTAATTGAAAATAGGTTTAGTAAAGAAAGGCCTAGATTCCCTTCCTGTGCTACTCTGGGGGAAGGCTTTGTCTACTGATGTTGGTGATTCCAGCCCAATATTTTCATTGCATTCATTAATATTATAGGCTTTAACTCTACCATAAAAAAAGTGAAAACACACATTGGAATCTGGAGATGATTGAAGACTCTGCCTCTGAAACTGACATTGAAAGTTGACTTCCACCCCTCCATTTCACAACACAGAAAGTACAATGTAATATTCAACTGCAAGCATGCTATCTGCTCCCACAGAAGTGCTGCTGATTATCGCCAATATAGAAGCAAAACTTTGTAAGCACAACTTACACTGAGAGAATGCTTGACAGCCTCCTAAGGTGTCACTACTGAATAACCTAAAAAAATCTGACTCCCTGGCACAGAGTGGATATCTGGTTTGTGATCACTAGGGCATATTTGTTTGAATTATTTTTAGGTGAGATAGTTAGATTTACTAAAACCAATGGTACTGCTGAGTCCCAAGAGCAAAAGAGCCTGTGTTCTGCCACTTATAAACAAATGTCCCTAAAGTGTACTGGAAGTCTAAAGGCTTTAATCAGCAATCCACAATTGCCCCAAACAAATGTTTTCAACATAAGAAGATAGATAGATAGATAGATAGATAGATAGATAGATAGATAGATAGATAGATAGATAGATATACATACATATTCTGTCCAGAAAGTATCCAGCCATTGTTACTTTAAGGATAACAGCTGGTGGTGCAACATGGATGTAACCTGGCAGCCAAGGCAAGTTGACTGCAATGCTCATGTGTGAACAATGACAACTTCATTGTACTAATCAGTGGGGTGCTGAACGCAACTATTGAGTGAGCATGTTTACTGTGTGGCCATCACATTCAAAATGAGTGAGTAGAGCAACGAATCTGCGTTGAATTTTGCACTAAACTTGAACATTCCTCTGTGTAAACTATTAAGATGATTCAGAAGGTTTTCAGGGATGATACAATGAGTGCAGCCCAAATAAAAGTATGGCACAAATGCTTCAAAGATGGTTGAGAATCTGTTGAAAGTAATCCACAATTGGAAGGCTTGCAACAAGCAGAACACCTGAGATTGTTGAATGTATAGGGGCTGCAATCAACAAAGATCAGCAACTGACAGTGCAAGAACTAGAAGCTGATCTGGGGATTCCAAAAATGGTGTCCAAGATCTTGAGGCAGGATCTTGTTGTGGTTAAATATACTCCATGGCTTCTGCTACCAGAGCAGATGGAACATTGTGCTGCATTTGCTAATGACTTCCTTCGTACTGTTACCAATGAACTAGATTTCCTCAAGAAGGTCATCACTAGAGATGAATTGTGGGTCTATAGTTGTGATGCAAAAATGAAGGCTCAGTTATCCCAATGGTGGTCGCCTGATTCTCCACTCCCAAAGAAGGAGCAGCAAAGTCGCAGCAAAAACAAGGCCATGTTAACTGTGTTTCTTGACTGGGAAGGTGTTGTCCATCACAATTACACTCCTCCAGGCTAAACAATTAATAAGGAGTACCATCTCAATGTTTTTTGGTCGACAGATGCAATGCCACAGAAACAGCCGCAGCTAAGGACAACTGGTGACCGGCAGCTTCATCACAACAATGTGCTTGCCCATGCATCACGTCTGGTGCAGAGTTTTTTGGCAAAACATAAAATCACACAGGTGAATCAACCCCCCTCAGCCTAGATTTGAAACCCTATGACTTCTGGCTTTTCCCAAAACTAAAATCACCTTTGAAAGGAAAGAAATTTCAGACTGTCAATGACATTCAGGAAAATATGGCACAGCTGATTGCACTGCGATTCCAAAAAAGGATTTTGCAAAGCTTTTTGAACAGTGGAAGAGATGCTAGGAGAACCATGTGAGGTCCCAAGTGCCTTCTTTGAAGCAGACTGAGGAGTCATTGTCCTATGTACAATATATTTTGTATCTTGTAGCTTCGTCATTAAAGATCTCTATTTTTCATATTACATGGCTGTATACTTTCGAGACAGACCTCACATATATGATCAAGCTTAACTTTCCATAATTTTGAATGGAGAGAATCTTTCAGATAAACATTAATCACAAATCTTCATAGATAGAGCTATAACAAAATAGTAGCTTATATTTTAATAGCTTTTAGATTATATGCTCTTTGAAATGGCTCTTATTTATTGAATATTTACAGTGTGCTAGGCAGAATGATAGGTACCTTTCATATATTATCTCTTATTTCAATGGAGTCTTGCAAAAATTTCATGGCACAGGTAACAAGAAAAGGAAATTGGACTGTTTAAGTTACTTGCTCAAGGTTATATACCAATTAGCCATAAAGGAAAGATTAATACTAGTTCCATTAAACCATGTCAGCATCCATGACAGGGTATTTGTATAGAGGAAGGCTATAGATTTTCATCTTATAGCAAAGATGAGTGAGAAAATTATACCATACATTTTTCAATGTCAGTATTTCTATAAATTTCAATTTCTTCTGTAACACCACCATCTACGTAACCAGTCAAAGATATATAGAAATAATTCTCTCTTTAAGAGTAGTAAAATATAAAGGAAATTCTTTTACTTTGATTTTCCATCTGAGGAAAGGCCATTATGACTCTTTTCTAAATGACAGGTTAAAACTTGAGGTTGTTGCCCACAACCTATGTTAATGTTTTGGCTCCTCACCTATCACAACTGCTAGAGGCAGCACACTAGTGATAGAGTAGCACTTACACTCAAATTGCTCTTGTGCCATTTATTGGCTGCATGATCTTGGATAAGGTTTCAATTTCTCTGAACTCCTGTTTCCATATCTGTACTGTGGGAATAATAATACCTACCTCCTGAGGCTGTTAGGATAACTTATTGGCTAACATAAATAATGCACATACACATAATGGGAAATGAATGACAAATTTGAGTCCCCCACTGTGCTCTATTCTACTTCAAGAGCCAGAAAATAATCACTGCAAAATAATAAAGAGGTTTTGTTGTTGTTGTTGTTGTTGTTGTTGTTGTTTTAAATCTCAAACTCCTGTACTGGGTAATAAACCTTCATAATTTGTATTTCATTATATGTTCATAAGAAGAAAAGATATTTTATATATATATATGTATATATATATATATATACACATTATATATACATACACACATGTGTATGTCTCATTACATTCTTCAAGAGGCAACATATTAAGAATCATTTCCTCTTACCACAACATGAAGCACTTTCAACGCAGATGCTCCAACTTCATTTGGGATACTTCACATATAAGGATTCTACATCTTGAAACCATCTCCAGTGGATTTCCTAAATGAAATGAAACAAAAACTCTTGGGAACATGGGAAAAAACAACAAAAAAACCACCTTAGCTACTTCCAATAGTGCTCATCTCAAATTCCTCATGTTGTTTTCCAGCTATCTGCTTTTCCTCTAATGGAAAAAAAAATTGCAAATGTGTTTTCAGGCTTCAGATTCACAATTCAAATGGATATATCCACCCCTGTTAACAGTATTGCTTGCATTTTCAGATAATGCACTTTATTATATGTGTTTTTGTAAATCAAGATGTATTCTTAAATAGATATTAAAAAATAATAATTAGGGTATAAAACAACTTCCACATCTAATTGAGTAATTATAATCAATCTGTTACAAAATAAATGAACTATATATCGTAATATCATATAGATGATGATAGAAAGTACGAAAGCAATGAATTTGTAGTTAGCATGTTAGAGAAAGAAAAATAATTTGAAAATATAGCTTTTTTATTTTTAAGATGCTTGTGGATGGCCTAAAAGATGAGGTAATGAAACTATCATATGACAGTGGAACATATTTATCTATTTCCATTAATAACTATAATTATAATAAAATATATTACTCTGTAGATACATGTTCTAGCATTGACAATTTTGCAAATTGAAAGCTCATTCATGTATTTGCAAAGTAGAGTGCTATGTTGCAATGTTCTTAGACGCCTCTCTCTGTCTCTCTCACATGTACGTGCACAGTCATACACATACACACAGCACTTAAGAGCCAAATTCATTGCAAGAAATTATACTGCAATCACATAAAATACAATGAATTCATCAGCCTAGGTCTATACCCTTTAATAACTATTTCGTTTTCATTACAATAGAATCTTCTGCAAAATAATTAAATAAAATCCTGGTTATGCAAATCACAGTATTGAAAACACTGAACACCTCATTGTGTAAAACATCTCAAGCTTAAGGAGACATGTCATAGTGATCAAGTTTAAATTAGTCACTTTAGAAGAAATTGTTGCTTCACTCTCCTGGTGGCTTCCTGGATTTCTCTTTCTGTAAAAACAGTAATTACAATGGTACTAGATGGCACAAGTGGGTCTTTCTTCTCAGAAATTAGATATGAAAGAGTCCACTGGCTTCATTAAATAATATTGACATCTCAAGATCTCTCATAAGTTCACTTCAGGTACAGATTGGAGCAAAGAATGTTGCTTTAATTTCCCTATCAATAGAAACCACGTAAGAATTTTGTGTTTTTAGTGTATTTTCTCTTTAGCCCTGAACCTATGCTTCTACATTTTCCTTTGGGTCCAAGGGTCTCTGACAATATTTCTTACAAATATCTATTAGGGAAGTGTGTGGGCATGTCATAGAACATGGAGAACCACACAGAGGGTGGCAGCAGAGATAGTGGATAGGCAGTGACAGTTTAGTACAAAGATGGCAAACCAAAGCCTCATCTGACTTTATTCCTAGAGTTAAAACAATGGCTTAATATCTATCTAAATATTTCAGTGGTTAAGAGTATATATTTTGGCAACAGAAAGACCAGTGTTCAAATCTGGACTCAACCACTTTCCAGCTGTTCTGTCTTAGTTTCTTCATCTATAAAATGGATCTAACGACACTGTGATACACAGCTTTAAAAATGGCTGTGATAATTCCTGCCACCTCTGTGCATACTTTCTTTGCAATGTGACTTTGCAATTCTCATCTTTCATAGGCAGCGTTTTTCTCCATCTCTAAAATCTAGGCTTGCCTAGTGAGTTGTTCAGCCAACAGAACATAGAGATATGTGACTTCTGAGACTAGAACCTAAGAGACCTTGCATCTTCTGGTGTTACCCTCTTGGAACTGTTTTGCCACAATAAGAAGAACCACGCTAGACTGCCAGAGACATATAGCCCACTTGGCAGGCAATGCCACCTGCCAGACAGAGAAGTGGCCATTTTAGACCATTCAAATTCAGTTGAGTTGCCAGATGATTGCAGGTGCATGAGTGACCCACGAGAGATAAGCAGAAGTGCCACTGAGCTGAGATCAGAACAAAGTGCATACCTACAGAATTAGACACAAACAGAATAATATCTGTTTTAAGCTACTGAGTTTTGGGGAGGTTTGTTATGGAGTAATAAATTACTGACAACTGATTCAAATTGCTACTTTGGTAGTATTATTTTAAAGATTAAAATAAAAGATGTGTGTAAAATGTACACACAATGCTGAGGGCTGGCACAAAATACGTATCCAAATGCTTACTGAGTGTATAAATGACTTTCCCAGCATCATCATGGGATAAACAATAAGGGGCTATTAATCAGTACTGCTAAGGAAGTTACTTACTCTGCAATACTTAAGAATAGAAGTACATAAGTTTGGTCTGAGACTACTGGTTCAAAGTAAATTAGAGATATTACTGAAATGGAATTTACCATTAATACTAAAATTCTTTGCCGTACTTTGTTTATCATTAATATTCAGATTCTTTCTGCCAATCTGAACTAAGATACATAGGAATGAGGAGGTAGGAAGTTGTCTTAAATCAGGTCTCAAACTTTTTGGAATCAGGGTCCATATATACTTCCTATTATGAAAAGCATTAATTTATTTAGGTTATATTAATTTGTATTTTTCTTTTTAGGAATGAAAGCTGAGACACTTTTAAAGTATTCTTATTGCTTATTATTTAATTAGTATTCCAGAATTAATTAATTTAAAAATAACAGTAAACCCAAAACATGGTGATATAAATGGCATGCTTTTATAACAAATCATTATATTTTTTCAGGACAAAAGAATTGGGAAGTGAGACTGTTCTACATTCTTGGTAAATTTCCCTAAAGTCTGGCTTGCTAGAAGACAGCCAGATTCAATCTGCATTCAACCTCTGTGATATGTTATTTTGGTGGAAACAGATGAAGAAAATCCAGTCTGATGCAGACATGTATTTAGAAAAGAGAGAGATTTTCACTGGGTTTTAAGTTATTGAACAAATTATTCGATAGCATGGTAACCCTCTATGAAAAGTGGTTTCTAAAAATTTAGTCATATTTTAAAATCTGAAACAACATCAAATAACTTTTTATACCATTATATAAAAACCCACTGGTCTATCTCTTACTGTTAATAGATAGATCTTTCACCTATGCATGCGTGGTCATCAGGTATTGACCATCTGGCAAATACTGGTTCACTCAATTATGCACATTTTCAAATTATTAACAGATATACAAAAAAAGTTACATTTGCTGAAATAACCACCAATCTTACCAGAATGTTTTTTAATTACTGAGAAGCAATCAAACTTATGGTGGTATATAAAAGATTTAAAAATTTTAATTTTCTCTTGAAAGCTTGAATTTGATCACTGGAAACAAAAACAAATACAAAATAGTTGCTTTTCTTAAAGTGAAAAGTTTACTTTGTTTATTTTTGAGAAATTATGCCAAATATCTAAGTCTCAATAACTTTAGTTTGACTATTAGTCACACTTTCATTTTAAAATGGTGTGAAATGAAAAAGTTAAGTTTGTAACTCAAACAATCATACAAGTGCACTTGCTGAGGACAACACCATACTTCAGTTTATGGTAAAAGTGCTTTATGCATTCTTCACATTTCATCACACAGATTATTAAGAAGGTGTTTATTTAGAAGACAAGTTATAAAAAAATAATAATCTATGCTACTCCATCAAAGACACTGTTAAGTAAACTGGCTTTTTTAAAAAATTCAAATAAAAGATGGTCACTCTTTGATCTGTGGGCTATAGAAAAAAAATAAATGAATTACAAAGGTGGTGAACTACTACAACCTCTATGGAAAGTAATATGGAGATACCTCAAAGAGATACAAGTAGAACTACCATTTGACCCAGCAATCCCATCACTAGGCATCTACCCAAAAGAACAAAAGATATTCTATAAAAAAGACATCTGCACTCGAATGTTTATAGCAGGACAATTCACAATTGCAAAGATGTGAAAACAACCTAAGTGCCCATCAATACATTAGTGGATTAATAAAATGTCTATATGTATACCATGGAGTTCTACAAAAAAGCCGCAAAAAACAATGATTATATACCACCTCTTGTATTATCTTGGATAGAGCTGGAACCCATTCTAATAAGCAAAGTATCAAAAGAATGGAAAAACAGGCACTACATGTACTCACCATCAAATTGGTATTAACTGATCAACACTTAAGTGCACATATAGTAATAACATTCATCGGGTGTTGGGCAGGTAGGAAGAGGGGGAGGTGATAGATATATACACACCTAATGGGTGTGGTGAGCACCGTCTGGGAGATGGACATACTTGAAGCTCTGACTCAGGTGGGGCAAAGGCAATATATGTAACCTAAACATTTGTACCCCCATAACTGGAATAAAAAAATTAAAGAATAAAAATCAATAAAAAAAGAAAAATACAATGACCGCTAGTATCAGTTTGGTGATACCACCTTGAACTGTGCTAAGACTCTGGCAATTTTATTTGTCATTGCATTTGCACCATTAGGGAAATTGTCAATAAAATGAAAAAAAAAAAAACAAATACTACCTTACTTTTATGTTGAAAACAGTTTTCACTTAGCAGACCACCAAAAAGGGTTTTGTAAACCGTCATGTTCCAAGGACAAGAATTTTGAGAACCACTATCAAGTAGTGACTTAAAAACAATAACTAAAGTTTTTTTGTGCTTCTAGGAATTTGAGTATTGACAGCCTTTTTTAAAGACAGATCGGAAATACCCCTTTCTATCCTCAATCACATCATGGTGGTGAGTTATAATGAATTTAAGCTAAGATTAAAATAACTAGGGCTGAAACAAGGTAAATGACTTTCCTCATTGTTGATCCTAAAACGTATTGCTTGTTAGAGCAATTGTTTACTCCGTACCTGGACTCTGATGATTCCTGCCCAACCAATGTCAAGTATTCTATATCAGTGGAGGGAATAAGCAAAAGCATAAGAGAGACAGAAAAAGACAGAGACTGAGAAAGGACACAAGACACACAGAGTGACAG